TAATTGTTGAATCGAAGTGCTTACCGTTACACCAAAATTCCCAAGTGTTAGTGAAGGCGTCAATTTTTTCTTTTAACTAACTTAGCAACAAGCGCCTACAAATCGAATTACTTAAACCCTCCACCGAATTTTACGGAAACTTGTTGCACCTTTTTCCAATCCAACAAAAGATTGGCGGTTAATTTGTAGGATAATTCTGAATAAAATTTTTCATCCTTGGCTTTTTCGATTCAGCAAATCATAGGGTAGAGAGGTAAAGATAACTCAGGATGTATATGTATATTACGACACATTAAACTAGATAGAACTTTTTTTTTTCTGGTACCTAATTGATTTTTGTGCAAGGACTTGAAAGCATTATAACAGGAGCTGCAATTATCAAACTCAATGCAACATTTGAACAATTTTGATTTCAAACTGAAATGTGTATTGCTAAATGTGATATTTTAAAGTATTGAAATATGTGCTGAAATTATTATTATTATTTTTTTATACATAAGAAAAATCTTTCACATGTTTCTGCGAGCGAGTAGATGCGCGTTTATGTCGCTCAGGCTCGTGAATCCAAATAGAATTGAAGGCAAATTTCGAGTGCAGGTCCTTCAATTCATACACCAATTTAATCAGGGCTTATGCTTCGAAGGGGATTCGAACATATACTTGAGACTTTAATACAGTTCGTTTAAATAACTAATATTTATTCTACCAATCAACCACATTTTTATTATTTTAAATTCTTATCCTCTAAAAAATAAAACCTTTGCAAGATTAAAAAAAAACCATTAGGCAGACATCAGGCAACATCACACCTAGCTAGCATCGCACGCAGACATCAAGCAACATCACACCTAACTAGCATCGCACCCTTATGCGAGTGAGGAACAGATTCCCTAAAAAAGGTCGATGTCCAATCAATGCTTGTTGTTATATGGGGGTAGTACATCCTCTTGTTGGCTTGGCTAGTGCCCGCATACTGTTGAACTTTATAGTAGTTTTAGAGCAGGAAACAAGCCCCATATATATATATGCAAGGCATGTTTGGGTAATCTATTCTTACGCTCTATGAAAGGACAGACACTCTCAAGAGTGTGCTGCATTTGTGTCCAACATTAATACTCTTTGGATGTTTTTAGCCACATATTCAATATTTTTTTATTCATATTTATAATTAAATGAAAAAAATTTATTATGAGAAAAACTAATAAATATCTTCTATTATAGGAAAACATATAGTTTACATCAATATTATACATGTTAAAGTTGTATTCAAGATACAATAATAAAAATAAAATTTGTATAAAACTTTTAAATAAGAGAAATTGCGAAAATGAGAGTAATCATTTAAATTATATATGTTGGGTACATGTTGTTTAAAAAATAATTTATAATTATTTGACTATGATGATACTTTAGTCTCAAAATTCACGGTAAATGTTTAGATATAACATTTACTTATTGTAAAGTATTGAACTTTTTATGAATAATATATCATTATCAGTATATTTATAATAAATTATATAATTTTATATATAACACAATTATCTGTAGTATGTCTTTTACGTGTCCATGACTATGTCCTACTTTTTAAAGAAATATGGTGGTTGTGTGTCCGTGTCGTATCATATCCTTATCTTATAATTCTTACTCTACACTATTAAATGAGACCTAGCTGCAGATTCTTTTATTTTTTTATTTTTTTGGATAATGCTAAATCAACTATCATATATTTGTGACTACCTTTTCTTTTCCTTTTTGAGTAATGTTATTTAAACTTAAAAATTTGACTTAATTATGTATTTTCAGTAGAACCATTGAATCAACACTAAATTTTAATATTTGATGAGACCCACAATTAATATAAAAGTTATAGTAAATTAAATCAACAAATTAGATCAATAAATTAGGTCTCAATAGTATTGCTCTTTTAATTTTTTTGTCAAACACTATTACAGGAAAATGAACGACTAAGTTTGAACCCACAACTTCAAGATCCAACAGCAAAAGCAATCGCCATTAAACCCACTACTAACCTCCATATACTTGTGACTACAATATGCAAGATGTGCAACTCATAAAATTCGATTGGGTTTGGTTTTAATGCCACCAGTAAGACTCGACCTCAGTGACATCCAGAGTTTACGACTTGCTTCTTATTTAAGCGACGAACTAACAATGTGACTGCATTTATGTGTTGTCATGACTCATGATAGATCAAAAATGCTTATAATCTTGCATCTTACTGTCATGCACCTACAAAAAATATGGTGTCGAGGGTTAGGAGCACAAGAGTAAAGCCACTTGTCATCACATTTTATAACATTACGTGTAAGCTTGGAAGACGTGAGAATCGAACTTTTAAGGTTAGAGGGGTTTTTTAAGGATATGTAGGGTAGGATTAGATTCTAGTAGCATGGTATTTGCAGAGAGAAACACAAATCATACAAGTTATAATGTCAGATATGAGAGGATTTTATCATATAACCCTTGAAGTTCAGTAAATTCGATTCCCAAAAAGTAAATTGTTTGAGTTGTCTCTGACAGTTTGATGGAGTTACGGTCTAACTATTATTCAGGTCGATTTTAGAGAGTGCCATCGATTTTTTCCGCTTAGGCTCTCCTAGAGGGCCTTCCTAGCTGCTATAGTCACCCAAGTGCAAGGATTCCACATTTTATCGCTCCCCACTCTGCTTTTTTAATTAGCAAAAAAAGACAGATGACGGGGTTTCATTAATTGAATCCTAAGTCTTGGTTATTCGGTGCATGTAATTAGCATATACTTCAAATTTACGTGATAGCCAGAAATATATAAAATACATATCTGAGTCAATTTTCTATTATGAAAAAATACAGACCAATTTTATGAAGGGAAAATACTCTCTTTATAACAAATTTATATAATTAAATATCTTTAATTAAATTAAATTTGCCATTGTATGCATAGATTATAAATTAAGCAGAAAATTTAAGAGTTCCCTTTTAGTTCGGATGGTTGCGGCAAACTTTGATGTAGTTCAACAGACCCATCATCCATCCACATAAAAAGGTAATATAGATCTTTCCTTTACTTTTCTTTCTTCAAAACAGAAAATTTACCCAATGAAAGAAAGAAAAAAAAAAAAATAGGGGGGTTAAAGTGGAAAATAAGAAGAGATATATGATGATTAGTCCACATACATTTCAGTGGAGGAACACTGAAAAAGATACTGAGTTCTCAATTATGACCCTTCGTGCTTATGATTTTCTTTCCTGAAATTTTATCAGCGCCATCTGACTTGGTCAAAGCTTTCCTTAGGAATTCATCTACACTTTATTAAGGAGAAGATGTATTTTTTAAATAAAAATAAATAAAATAAAATAAAACGATCAAAATTTCTTTTAATAAATTTTTTTCTTCATAAGTCAGGCGAGCTAGTCAATTTATATTATATAGATTTTCATTCTGAATCTAACTTCGCTAGATTCTGAACTCATCCAGCTTGTAGATCCTCTTTCTTAATATTACTTAGGCTCATCAAACAGCGTTTTTCATCATTTTTAAGGTTTTGGCCCGAGCTGTTCGACAAATTCCCATGCGTTACGCAATCGTTCACCACTTTATTTTCAACTCTTCTGACCTCTTAGGTGAGATAAGCTACCTTTAGTTAGGAGCTTCTTTTCTTTCTATCCACCTCTCCAAAAATAACGTTCGACTTGCAAGTGTTAAGTATATAATTAGTGTTCCTTTTAACTCATAATCAAATTCTTCCTTTGAATATGATTAAGTCCTGCAGTGGCATAATGAATTTTATTTTAATTTAAATTAGATGATCTGCTAATAAAAAAAAAATACATTAGGAATCTCACTCAAAAATAAAGTATATGCTTAAGGAAGCGTCGCTATATTGTTTTTTGTATTTTTTCTGAGGTTTCCTTAATGCTGTAGTACACTCGAATTTCACTTGAATTTATTACATGTGATCTAATAACAAGAGAAAATAAAAATATACCAGAGAGGCTTATTTTTTTGAGCCGGTCCTAGAGAAGATTTAAATCCACTAACTTTAAACTAGTCGAGAAAAAAAAAATGAGTTAGAGATAATGAAATATAATCTGAATTGTTAAGCACATAGTTTGAGTCAATTAATTTTATTGCAAGTTAGGTATTAATTAGCTGGGTTTTGAAAAGGAATGTTAGTGATGGTGGCTCTGTTTCCTTCATATCATTCAACCACCATCTTCTCTAATTTGTTTGTTTGCCCACCTCATTATCTCATGTAATCGAGACTAAATAGTCATTTGCTACTTTGTTAGTAATTATTTCAGTTTACACATAATTTATCTTTTTACAACATACTTAAAAGTTGAACCATAGGTTTTTTTTTCCTCCTTTCACACAATCTTAATCATAAAACAGTCTCTCTCTCTCTCTCTCTCGATGGCAGACCCCACTTTGATCTTTTCAGTTTTTCAGTGGAAACGTGAGTTGAAGCCTGCCTCTCTTTTAGAGATGAATGGTAAAAGAGGGAACCTTTCTCCTCCTCTCTCACCTCTCTTTTTCTCTCTCTTGATGAAACCCTAATTCAACCCAGCCACATATAAGGCAAAACCCAAACCATCACTGCCAAGCATCAATGTTTCTTCTACAATCATCAATTTCATGATCCGTGGTCTGTTCATTCTCTTCTTTAAACACACGCTTTCCTCAAAGACAAAGACAAAGACAAAAGGCGTAGAAAGGACTTTCGTTTTTTGCAGATCAAAGCATTAAAGACATGGGTACTTTCTCAAATCTCTTCCAGAACTCTCTCTCTTTCTTGGTTTTTTTTTTTTTTTTTGCAGCTTCTCTATAATGGGATTGTAAGTATGTGAGCAAACTTGACCAAAAAAAGAAAAGAAAGCGAGCAAATCTGTTTGCAGTAGTGCACAATCTCTCTCCATATCTCTGTCTCCCATACGTTGTTCCTTTTTTGGTCCTCTCTCTTTCTCTCTCTCTCTCTCGAATTCATTTTCTCTCTCTAAAAGGAAGAGATGGATTCTGGCAACAGTGGGAGTTTACAGTCATCGAGTGGTGGTGATGAGGAGTACGATTCACGCGCCGACTCCATATCAGCCTTCACGAACCCAAAAGGCCATGTTGGTCCCATGTCAAACCACCCACCACCACCACTACACAACCACCCTACTTCCTTTATGTTTGACCCACCACCAAACTATTTCGAACCCATGCCACCACCACCACAAGCACCATCAAACCCAAACTCAGTTCTCAATCTAGACATGGTCTGGTCCAAAACCCTAAGATCTGAGCCAAATTGCTCTGAAATCATCAACCCCATCATGCCCTCCTCATCTTCTCTCCAACCCTTTTTTCTCTCTCATCAAGATCAGTATCATGGCCCTTTCACCACCCAATCACCTCCAGTTCCATTTCTTCCTCCTGTACCAGAAACTACTACAACATCTGATCAAAATCAAGTTGTACGAAACCCTAAGAAACGATCAAGGGCTTCAAGGCGCACACCAACTACTGTGTTGACCACGGACACCACCAATTTCAGAGCCATGGTTCAGGAGTTCACTGGCATCCCAGCACCACCATTCACATCCTCCTCATCCTTCCCTAGAAGCAGACTTGATCTTTTTGGTACACCCTCCACCATAAGATCCCAACTCTTAGACCCTTCACAACGAGCCTTAGATCTCCTTAGACCTTTTGCTCACAAAGTTCAACCATATCCACCATTTTTCTCTTCTTCTCTGTTTAATTCTTCTAACAACATCACTTCTTCTGGTTCTACACGTAGTGCTTCTAATTCAACTTCAATTAACATGCAAAACCCATTTCTCACATTTCAGTCTCTCCTTCAACCTCCTGATCCTAAATACCCACTTGCAAATTCAGGCTCAACAACCGATGGGTCATTTGAAATCCATACAATTGATTCAAATCTCAAAATGGGTGTTTTTGAAGAGCATGGCTTGAGCCATAGGCAAGTCCTGGTCTCTCCTGCTCCAAGTTGGGGCGACGGAGTACTTGGTTCAAATGTTGCTGATCATCAAAGTCATCATCAGAGCTTTGTCAATGGCAGTTTCAGCTCTTTGCGCAATGTTAAAAATGGGAAGCCAAATAATTCGGTTTCTTCTTCATCAAATCGTAATCCAGTTTCAGAGAATGTTTCTACAAGATCAGGTGAAGTTATGGTGGAACCATGGATAAGTTCTTCGGATTAGTCGTATTTTTAATATGATTATATCGTAGAATCTTTGAAAGCAATGATGGTGATTATCATAAAACTTTGGAAAAGAAAGGTTAATTAGTGTGGTCTTCATGATCTTAGCCATGACTTTCAACAAAGCTACGACACTGTACTTCTTTAATTATGTGTAAATACCATAAGCCTTTTCATCTTTGTTTCATATATATACAAACTAGCTTGTTCATAGACTTTTTTTTTTTTTTTAAATTATCTGTGTGTTGGTTTATTTCAATAGTAAAATGCTATTAGTTTTTGTCTGGTAGCGTGGCTTTGTATTCATGGATTCACATGGGGTTGACTCTCTAATGAGAACGTGAATCAACAGAGAAAGAACCATGCTCATCTTCTCTCTCTCCTTCCATTTTTTATTGGTTAAGAAAGTTTATGACAATATTATTTTGTTTAGAAACTATTCGAAGATATTATGAGCGATTGGTGGCGAGATTTGGGGGATCATTAGGCGCCGCAATCTCGTGTTAGAATTCGAAAATTATCTTCGAAATACATGTGTTTTGTTTGTAATGTTTTCTATTCGTTTAATATAGGATAACTTGCATCTAATACTATTTGTAAATCAGTAATGCTACGTTGATCAAATTTTGAGATTAAATTTAGAACCCAAATGATATGACAGTATATTATTTAAAATTTTTATTGAGACCCAAATAACACGTAAATAAGTCCATTTTTATCTACGCCCTCTTTCTTTTTTGAAATTTTACTGACCACTCTTTGTTAGTGTGGGGGGTAATTTAAGTGTCTAGTTTACTAATTTACCCCTGAACTTTAAAAAAAATACACACAAAATAATATATACATAGATAATACAACCTCCCTCCTCTTATCTTTGCAATCAAGTGCCCACAAGTAACAACCTATATCAATTAAGATTGGTTGATTGGATTGAGTTTTCATTGAATTTGTTGATTGTATTAGTTGTTGGATTGGGTGTGTGTAAGCCAGATAATCATGGAATGGAATTGATGGAAAATAGGTCTGGGTTTTACCATTGGTTTCATAGCTTTGGTTTTGCCGATACAAATATATCTATTCAAGTTGGTCATAGGTATTAATTGAGTTAAGCCGTTCAAACTTGAGTCCGAATTTATCGAATTCGGTTTTTTAAACGAATGTAAAAAAATATTCAAATTCGAGTTGTTTAAAACTTGACCTGAGTCCGAACTCAAATCCGAATCTGAATCAAGTTCGAATATCTCAACTATATTACATATAAATAAGTTGAGTTTTACAAGTTTGGGTCGAATCTTTTAGACAAATTGTTCAAGCTCAATTCATTTAAAACACGAATCGAGCGTGCATTAAATTTTATCCAAGTCAAACCGAATAGCTCGTCTCGATCAACACATCTTCCTATGCATCGAGTAATCTCGTGTGCGCTTAGATCTATATCCGAATATATCACAGAGAATTTCAGACTAGATTTTCTTGGGTCTTTTTGAGTTGAATGCCAATTGCATGTCCGTTCAAGCGATACGTCAACCTTCCGGTCTTAGAAAGAAATTTTTTTGCAGGGTAGATAGATAAAGTTGGGTATACTTATACGAAATTCATAAAAAAAAAATACAGGTCTTGTTATGACGAGAGTCTCGGGGTACCAAATCTTTTTCATTCTTGTTTTAATAACTACTCCTATTGTTCGGTTCTTTGAGAATCTAATTCAAATGTTCAATAGAAGTCACTTTTAATCTAACTATTATAATTAATTAGGTACTTAAATTAAATACAAATAGTATCTTCCTCTTATAATGAGCCTGGCTGTGCAAGTCAAATTTTTTTTTTTCTATCAGATACTATTACAAGAGAGAGGACAATAAAATTTGAATTCTCAACCTTAGAAATCTAATAATGGAGACAATACTCATTAGGCCAACCACGAACCTCTGCAAGTCTGGTAGTTGATTGGTCATAAAATCAGTATTGAGCTAATGGGCTTGACTATATCTTTGCCGCAAGGCCAACCCATCAAGTTTATAGGTTTAAAAATCACAACCTATGGTCTTGTCTGCTAAGTTAGAAGCTACCCATGGGCCATGGGCAATAACAATTTTCTCAGCCTCAGGTATAATGATACGGAGAGCTTCTTTCTTTTTTTTTTTTTCCAGTGTTTCGTAAGCATTTTCATTTTCAATGGTAATTTTGTTATTTTTAAAACAATGGTTGTATATTTTTTAAACAAAAATCAATTTCAATATGATATCTCCGTGCTACCCTAACCTTATCTATAGATGTTGGGAATAGATATTTGTGGGATATCTATTCTATTCATCTTTTTTTTAAGAGAAATATATATCGTCTATTTAATCAAGTTGGAGAGAGAACCATTCATTCATGCTCGCTAATTCTAATCTCGATTGGAGACATTTAGGAATAGGAATTGCTCCTTTCGGGTCAAGTCCTAGGCCGAGGGGGTCTTGTATTCATGGGTAGTGAATGGGGGTCACTCATACTTGGATTGAAACATGGCCCAGGCTCCTTATGCATGTAGGGCTGATGGGTTGTAATGGATGCTGAGTTTACTATCCACACATATATCCGCTCCATAACATGGTATACATTACACCACGGCCGTTGACTGGCTCAATAGCCAAATTAGAATGCTAGGCTGCATCAAAGGCCCACCGCCTATTTATGAAGTGGACTGGGCAAGCTTATGATCCGATGGACCACCCGATTTGTTGGATCAGGACAATCCCCAAATATCTTCCCACTCCTAGGCAACATTCATTTCTGTCCATCTCTCTCTCTCTCTCTCACACACACACACACACTCAATGCCGGCCCAACCTTTAGGTCACTTAGGTCATTGCCTAGCCCCCAATTTGGAAAAAAAATTTAGGCCCCAAAAATAAAATAAACAATGATATATAATTAAAATTTTAGAATATAATTTAATTACTCAATATATTTTAATCATTGAATTAATAGTAAGTGCTAGCTTGAAACAAAATCTACTATTTTATCTAATGTACTTGGTCCTCAAATTAAAAGCAAGTAGCATTATTATAAAATTTTTAAAACCTCTTTCAAATAAATTTACGGTCTAAAGTTTAACTTATTTTTTTATCTTACTCGATATTTATATTATATATATTATAACTTTGCAGTCTTATTATTAAAATCAATTGTCTATCATGTAAAAAGTACGCATAATAATTTTATATTTGTATAAATTAAATTTAAGGTCATTTTTTAATTATTTTGTTTACAATGCACAAGATGACTATAAAAAAAAAAGTGAGTAGAAATAGTGAATTTAAATACTTAAGGCCGATTGTCTAACCAAAGTGGATGGTTAGACAATCACAACCAAAAATAAATAATTAAAACTTAGCTTCACCTTTCGAATAAATTAAGAAATAAAATATTATTTAAAATCATTTCTAATAACCATTCCACCACCAGATAGGCCAGTACTCCCCTTGGAAGCACCATCCACATTCAATTTCAGCATGGTTATAGGTGGGGGATGCCATTTAATCCAACTAACTTTAGTAACCACAGAAAAAGGAGTGCCAATTCTGAGGTCCTGGAGCATTTCTTTCCCCCCCAGACTATCCATCCTCCTGGGCTTTATCATGAAAACTTGCCATCTCAATGCACTTACCACCTGTAAGAAAAGATCATAAGCATTCAAACTCAACCCTTCATATCTCCTCCTACACCTCTCCTTCCATAAAGCCCAAAAGATCAACATAGATACACCCCTTATTAAAGAATGACTTAGAGAAAGAGCTCTAAAAGCTCTAACCAGCCTCAAAAATCTACACATAGGAGAGATTCACTTGGTAAAATCTCAAATCCCATAACCACAGACACCCTTCTCCACACCTCATGGGCAAAAGAACAACTGATAAAAACATGATCTGCACTCTCCTCCTTTACACCACACAAATTGCATTTACTAGCTAAACACACCCCCACTCTTTGAATCCTGTCATCAGTAGTCATTGCCTCCCTAAAAACCTTCCAAGTGCATAACTGAGTACTAGGAAAGATTTTCTGGTTCCAAATACTCTGAGCAATATGACTTTGAACACCTCTTCATCTTACCGTACCCCATGCAGACTTGACTGAAAAAACACCTGAAGTGGTAAGTTTCCAAACTCTTTTATCAGATCTTTCAGTCAAACTCACACCAGAACATCTAATCTCATTTTGCAGCTGAGGAGAAAGCCATTCATTAACCTCCTCTAAATGCCATTCCCTATCAATCCATAACTCATTGAGTTTGGGAAAAGAAGAAGGAACACCTTCAATCCTATGCAACAAAGGACCAGAATCCAACCAAGAATCACAACAGAAGTCAGAATTCTGCCCATTCCCAACAAGCATCATAGAGTTACTCGCCACCAGCTCAAACCAAGGCCTCAGCATTCTAAAACTTTGACCCACTCCAGTCAAACTAGATCTCAACACATGCTTGCCTTTCAAAAATTTTCCACTAAATACTTTTGCCTAAAGAGATTGCCCATTAAGAACACCCCAAACCTGCTTTATTCTAAAAGCAGACTGGACTTCACCATAACTCCTGATACCCAAAACCCCTTCACATTTGGGTTTGGAAACATTCTCCAAAGAAACCCATTGTCTTCTTCTAACATCCATCTTGCTAGACCATAAAGTTCAAGATTTTCATATTTATGATCCAAAAAGTATTTCTTTCTTTGATGCTCGTTAATTAACTCTCAATTGTATCGTGTCATAACATTTTTGTGTGATGTTCGAATCAATAAAAAAATATTTTAAAATTTAAAAAATTATAAAATACATATTTTTTGCTTATTATAATTGTTAAATAACTATATTATGTCTAGAATTAGACACAAATTTTTTGACTGTTTGATCAAATTAAAGTTAGATATGAATAACACAACTGTAGACAGAAAATAACTATTAAATGAGCATTGTAGGTAAAAAATAAGTATTTTATAATTTTAAAAAAAATATTAAATAGTATTATATAAATTGTCGTAAATGTGAAATATACGACATAACGCAATTGACTAGACACAAAAATATTTTGTGTTAAAAATATTTTTTTACCGACTTGAACACAACAGAAAAATGATA